GAGCTTTGGAAACACATGGAAGAATCCAAACTGATAGTTAAGGAGAATGGGAGGGTCTGAGGTAAAGTTGAGTTCCTGGCCCCAAGGAAGACATGTGCATAGAAGGGAAACTTCCTGGAGCCCTGATGGTGAGCAGACAAGGGAATGATGTCTAATACTGAGGCCCAGGTACCTTGGGAACTCTAGCAAGCTTGGGGGAATTCTGTCAGTGTTGCTGTCAGGTTTGCTACCTGACATTGGCAGTAATAGAAAAAGATGTCCCTTCTCCCCCAGGTGGATGCATCTCTACTCTAGGATACATGGATTATGAATCAGCATGGGCTAGATTTCAGCTCCCACTTGCTCCAATGGCCAGAGCCCTTTTTTTCAGTGTACAACCTACCCAACTTCACATACAGGCCCTGAATGAACTGGGAATTTCTTTTAGCTAAAAGCTAATCTTGTGCCCATACACATGAAATTGTTCAGGGAGAACAACCTATCATTTAGCAGAAAGACTACGAGAATGGTATTTGTAGATAAAAAAACTCTTTTAAGGGATATAAATTAAAGAGATATAAAGACAATAAGGGATAGTAGACTTGATTTGATCTCTCCAAATTCTAAAAATGTCTGATAATGTAAATGATATTTTTCTGGTGCCTCTCCTATCCTGATTTCCTACAGAAATGGTTGCATGCTTGAGCAACCATAGGCAAATTAACTAGGCCCTCTGTAGGTCAGTTTCTTTATGCTGGAGTTGTGGTGAGGATTAAACACGTTGATCCATTTAAAGCTAGAACTGGGTCTAGCGTTTAGTATTTACTCAATAAATGTTAGTTATTATTTGCGCTATTCACATGTTAATGAGAGTGTTGAGCTGCATGAGGCTGTAGAGGCCATCTGGACAACATTCTTTCAGAAAACAGTTTTCGAGCTAGGCCTTGGAAAATGGGTAGAATTTCAATAGCTAGAGAAAATAAGAGGAAGACATTCCAGGAATTGGGAATAAAGGTGGAAAGGTACAGGTAACATTCAAGTATTTAGCAGAAACTGAAAGGCATGTGTAGGAGAGGAGTGGTAAATAATAAGCCTGACAGCTAAACTGGGGGCACATAATAAGGCTTATAGAATTCATCCTTCTCTCTCTGGTCAGCAGGGAAAACCAAGAATGTTTTAACTTGTAACCCTCTGAAATCTGATTCCCCTCTATACAATCTCTTTTCCTCAAAAGTCTTTTAATGCAGGGCATCTAAAACTGGAAAGTGCAAACAAATGACTTGAGGTCCTTCCTATAATACAGATTCTGACATGGCAGGTCTGGAGTGAGGTCTGAGACCCTACATTTTTAACAAGCTTCCAGGTGCTACCATGTCTCTGCTGCTGCTCGTCCACGGCTCACCCTTTGAGCACCAAAGGTCTAATCCAATGGCCTCTTCTCACTCTCATCCTTACCACCTCTGCAGTGTTTGGCCTTGCTGATTTTCCTTAAGTTCTCATCATTGGCTTCTATTCTTTCACGTGAAACTTATGCAATTACTTGAAGCTGAAAATACAGACTAGAAGCCTCCTCTGTAAAACTTCAGTACATACCAACTTGTCCTGGGCATAGCTTTCATCATATAAAACAAAGTTGCCATTGGTAACAATACTTTTACATATTAGCTATAGCTACAAGCTCGAGTCCAATCTTTAGATGTATACTGTCCAAGCAAGTGTAAGTGTATCAATCTCTTTGGTTTTTGAAATGCAAGTATCACAAACCATCTTTTAATATAAGACAGACATATTTTGTTATGAAAAACATCTATTGCCTATCTCATAATGTGTCTAACTTCTCTGGAAAATAAATCTCCCCCGAAATCCCCATGCCCACTGTGGCCCCACCCATCCACATGGGTACTGGCTACCATTTATTGGTGCAGAGGTGGGCCCTTATCCAAAACTGGGTCATCTTGAGTCTTTCCCCCAGGATTTTACATGAGAAATGGAAAAAAAAAAAAAAAGCAAGTTAGTCTCTCACTATCTCTATAGAAGTGAAGAGAATGTAAATTCAAGAGCTATTAGGAACCACATTCTGTCATGTGGATGGCAGAGCAGAAAATAGCAGTCAATTGTAAGAAAAAAAGATTGATAGGGGCCCATGGGTGGCTCACTCAGTTAAGTGTCCAATTTTGGCTCAAGTCATGATCTCGCAGTTTGTTGAGTTCAAGCCTCACGTCAGGCTCTGTGCTGACAGCTCAGAGCCTGGAGCCTGCTTCAGATTCTGTCTCTCCCCCTCTCTCTGCCCCTCTCCCTCACACGCTCTTTCTCTCTCTCAAAAGTAAATAAACATTAAGAAAAAAATTTTTTTTCATAAAAAAGTCTGAAGGTACCACAAGAGCACAGGGAAATACCTCCACAGTATGGCACACTGACAACCTTGAACATCTCCACATAACCTGTAGACACGGCTAGGCCACAGACTGATTCGAGTCTTGGCAGAATGCCCGATGATTTCTTCTGGTCTAAGGGAAGATAAGCAGCCTGATGAGGAAGAGCAGAGAAGCTGTTTCTCCTGTTATCTTAGGGAAGACTACCATGAGGCCATTTCTCATGTATCTCCCTAGTTTCAGTTGAACTCAAGACTTTCCTCCCACTTGGGGGAAGCTGCAGCCTTCAGTGTAAGTCAATAAAACTGCTTGGCTGTGGTTCTGAGGCACCTCCTCGACAGTAGAGTGACCCGCTGCTCATACCATCTACCAACTGGCATCTTCAGTTTGGTGTTGCCCATGGAATAAGGGACACAGGGAACTGACACCACCATATCACCTGCTTTTCCTGTCTAAGTAATTAGCTATCTGAACCCATTTGGGCATGTTTACTCCTCACCAGGCAAATCTATGGAAATACGGCAAAACATCCTAACAGCTGTATTAGTATTACTGGTGACCCTACTATTCGCCACGAACTTGCTGCCTTGGAAATGTTTAACCATTTGACAACGTGAGGAAAGGTAAAGGATGACTTCCTGAGTTCTCCTCAGTGCTCTAGCTCCTGGTTCCAGTCTCTTCCAGGAATGCATCCAGACCTTGAATTCCAAGAGATTCCCTGGTATTTCTGCAATAAACTTCCCCAGCTTTTTTCCCCCTTAAGAAAGCCAAAATGTATTTTTAACCTTTACCCTCAAAAGGTCATATGATACACACACAGAGGTGCCGCATTTGATGACATTATCAGTAATGAGAACTTTAGCGCTAGAGATTCAAACGCATTTTCTATATTTATTAAAATTCCACATCTCTTGTGTATTAATTTCTCTTTGGCCCTTTACCTAGTATATGTACTATGATTAATCTGCATTTATTAAAAACCAGTAAATATAAAGTTTTATGAAAATATTATTGCCTAAGTAGAAAACACGATCTCCTTTCACTATGATGAAAGTGTACATTACTTTCAACATTTATCAGTGATTCTATAGTACCAAATCTATAAATCAACCACACTATGTTTAATTTACCTTACACATATACTAATTTTCATTCATATGAGTTACAACTATAAGAATATGATGGAATCACACATTTGTGCCAAATATTTATCAACCAACAAAAACATGTAAGTAGGTTACAGTTTGACCCTTGAGTTTAGCTGTGTCTAAGATCTAGTATGATCATCTAAGCCAATACAGAGATGCTTCTGAATCATTAATTAGAGATTAGGATGTTCACCAATTTGCCTTACTCTCCCATTCGGACAGCTAAGTTTTCTTTGATCAGGGTCATGGACTCTGAAATCAACCCAGTCAGGGAGAGCTGGCAGTCTGGGATATTATGGAATTTGACCCGGTGACTAAATTGGTGAAAATTCATCGTCACTTCTGGGAAACAACTAAAAAAGCAGACAGTGTGGCCACTGACATCATAATTATGGATGGACAAAGCATAATCACATATAAGAGATGAATGCCTTGATGGTCATATTAATGAAATATCATCCTTATAAACTGTACAGACCATGACTGATACATGTGGTTGCTTGTGGTACTCCTGAGATGCAAATAGTTCACGACATAATGATAACTAGTCATAATTTGTAATAGGCCTTTATAAAAAGTCCAGGTGTATTTGAAAATAAATTTTCCTAGTTGACGTTAAACATTAGACATCTAGTCACTCTCCCCATATGATTTACTAGAGTTACCATAGTATAACGTCTTAAGAGAATATCTACACTTACAAAAATGTTTTATGGTGCTGAGTGAATTGTAGTAATTTATAAATTACTTTATAAATTTAAAATAAAAATGTGTCACAGCTATGAAAACTTAAATTTTCAATCAACTCATGATTTATATTTTAAAGTATCTTTAAAACACATCCATACAACATAATCTCATGGGTTCTTATTTTCTCTAGCCACACTTAGTAATTATTTCCATGATTAGTTACAACAAATTTTTTCTAGTTTTTTTCCACAACGTAACTCTCCATAAATTGTGAACCCCTTATATCAAAGGTGTTTATGTGTGTTAACATATGCATTTAATTTTAATATGCCTATTTAAGGCACGAATAGCCCCCAGCAAGCGCACTCTGCACTAAGAAGACCTGTGGAGTGCTGAGGTACACACTCTAATGACGGAGGCAGGAGTTATGTAAGATCTGAGCCCAGAAGAAAGAAGCTGCAAATGATAGCAGAGCTAAGGCTGACGCAAGCTGGATCGCTTCAAGTAAAATAACCAGCTAGGAATCAAGGCCTCCTCCAAGTTGCAGGCCTTGGGGCTGCCTAGCTTGCATTTCAGGCTGACGGCGCAGAAGGCGGGGCAGCCGAGAGCGGCGGCGCGGCGGCGACTTGACCTGGGGCACCGGCCTCCCACCGCCGGCTCCCGCCTTCCTTTGCTCTGGCCCTCGGCGGGCTCAGGCGCTGCGCCTGGAGCGCTGCATTTAGACGGGAAACTTCGGATGCCAGGATTGTCTGAGAAAAGTTTTCCGACACGCTAAATGAAAAGCGACTGGCCCCTAGCGGGGCGGCCTTACCAGCGGAACCACCGGCCAGGATCTGGCGAGAAGCCTCTTTCACGAAGCCGACCTCGGGCTTGGCGGACATCTTCGAACGCCCAGGACGACGGAGTGGGCCGAGATGAGTGGGCGAGCTCGCCGGCCTCGCTACCGACCTGCACGGCTTCTCCCGATCGAGAGAGCCGGTGCTGGGCAGTTCCTTGCGCCGAGTGAGGCTGCAATCCGGCGACTGCTCGGAGGTGGAGGCTCAGGGCGCACACTCGCCGCCGCGTGATGTGCCGCGGGTCCGAACCTGCCCGCTGCACCCTTTCAGGGGCGCTCTCTCGGCGCTGCTAGGCTTCTTGGGCTCCGAGAAGGACCTCGGGGGAGAAAAGAGTCGCGGATGGGGTCGGGCTGGCTGCCGCGGTGAGGCGGGTTTGGTCTCCTAGATTGGCGCCCACGCGATTCCCTATCGGGAGCCGCCTGCGGTTTGTCAAGCTGGATGTGCTGCCTCTGATAACGCAAGTAAAGAAGCGTCTCCGGCCTAGCGGCCCGGGCTGGGGCGACCCTTGCCCTCCCGGCAAGCAGGCGCACTGGGAGGTCCTAAAGAACGGACAGGTGGATAAGTTCTTTGGAGTTAGTTGTCCTGAAATTGTGGGCAGTAGAAACGAGAAAGCAAATCCCATTTGCAGTTACCTTGCAATTAGGTTAATGTAGTACTTCACAAAGAAATGGTTTTGGCTTAAGGGAATTTATCACAACTCATCAACCTGAGTTTTATTTACTGAAAAACCAAAATAAAGAAGAGGCATTACTACAGAGAAGTGTCATAGGTACCCTAGGTCAGTGATTCTCAAAGTATGAACTTAGCATCCAGGAACAGAAGCACGATGTGAGAGTTTGCAAGAAAGGCAAATTCATGGCCCCACCCATATCTACTGAATCAGAATCCCTGGGTAAAGGGCTCAGAAACCTGAGTTTTAGTAAGTTCTCCAGTGATTTCTTAAGAGCGTTAAAGTTTGTGAACCACGAACCTAAATGATCAAGGAACATTAAGGAACTATCAGTATATTCTCTCTATAAAACACTTAATTGTTCACACTAGCCCTTTAGGATATTTGGCAAAACATAAATGCTAATTTATACTGGTTTTTTTTTTTTTTAATTTTTTTTCAACGTTTTTTATTTATTTTTGGGACAGAGAGAGACAGAGCATGAACGGGGGAGGGGCAGAGAGAGAGGGAGACACAGAATCGGAAACAGGTTCCAGGCTCTGACCCATCAGCCCAGAGCCCGACGCGGGGCTCGAACCCACGAGAGACCGCGAGATCGTGACCTGGCTGAAATCGGCCGCTTAACCGACTGCACCACCCAGGCGCCCCCAGGATTGTAGATTTCAACATTAGCCGCAGGCCAAACTACATTCTGTCACACAGAAAACCAAAATAATTAAATGCCCCCAAATTAATTTGTTTCTTCATATATATAAGTGGAGAATTTTTTTAAGTTAAAAACAATGTCACAACTATTAAACCCCAAGGCACACACTGAACAAAATTCTAGATTCATTCACTGAAAGCTTAACTAAGTATCAGCACTTTCCTACGTACTGGCAATGTAACAGTTAAAGTTCCTAGTGGAGCATATAATCTAATGGAGGAGATACTACCATATTGCAATATAAGTAAAACTTTTGCCTTCCTTAGATACTCCTTGATACTCCCAAATCAAGATTTAAAGATAGCCTTTTTCTTTTTCCTTCAGTTGGATCAGTGTAAAGATAGCCTTCACCAATTCCATGAGGTCCTTAATCTCTGAATATCTTATCCAGAGGAGGTAGGTGCAGGTTTATGGTCTCACTAAGACCTCAGTCTCTTAACACCTGTATGGATTCAGTGAGAAGACCCTCCTAGACATAGTTCCAAATACTCTGTTAGAAAATTACTACCAATTATTAACCTCTTTGGGCTAGAGCAGATTTTTTTGAGTAAAATAAGCAAAGCCTGCCATCACATCTGATTTCTAGTCCTACACCTCTAGAATAGTTGAGGAGATAAGATCTAGGTATAAGAATATTCTGAAGCCAGGATTCAGCCAGTGTTAATCTAGAATCAACAAATACCCACTGTGCTAAGAGCTCTGATTATGGGATGTATCTCTTACCTGCAGCCAAATTTGCCTGTAGCTAATATTGGAATTCTGGGAGGTTTAGCACTGAGTCGGGGGGGAAGGAAAATTTACTTGACCTACTGTTTCAGATTTCCTTTCTATCATTAGATAGATTACTCTTTCTATTATTATTTTTATATAATACTGCAATGCCCTGATATCAGAGCAAAACTGCTAAAGTGTCAAGCTTATATTTTTAAATGATTATTTAAATTAAATTATTTTAAAATGATTATTTGGTTGAGAACTACATAATTAGAATGGCTAGAAACTTAACTGCCAGGTACCCTAAAATACTCACTGAACATAAGTATCTAATAATGTCTTCAGTGTCTTGTTGGAATAAAGTTTTTGTATTGGGCCATTGGATCAGCTACTGTTCAAGACCAAAACAATAGTGGCTTAAATAAGATAGAAATTTATTTTTCCTCATGTAAGCCATGAATAAGGTTCCGGCCAGCAGAAAGAAGAGAAAGACAAGAAGCATAAAAAAAGACCTGGAAATTATACAGATCTCATTGGTCAGAACTTGGCCACATGGAGTATACCTAGGTATGAGTGAGGTTGGGAAAAATAGTATTTTGCTGTGTGGCAATGAGTCTAGGGGGGAAAAAAAACATTATGGAAGGAGAGGAGAATATATTGGAAAATAAACAGCATTATTTACTACTTTGGGGAAAAGTTTAGGAGTAAAGAGCTATATTTTATTTTTATTTATTTATTTATTTTTTAAATATGAAATTTATTGTCAAATTGGTTTCCATACAACACCCAATGCTCATTCCAACAGGTGACCTCCTCAGTACCCATCACCCACCCTCCCCTCCCTCCCACCCCCCATCAACCCTCAGTTTGTTCTCAGTTTTTGAGAGTCTCTTACGTTTTGGCTCCCTCTCTCTCTAACCTGTTTTTTTTTTTTTTTTTTCCTTCCTCTCCCCTATGGTCTTCTGTTAAGTTTCTCAACATCCACATAAGAGTGAAAACATATGGTACCTGTCTTTCTATGACTTATTTCACTTAGCAACACTCTCCAGTTCCATCCACATTGCTACAAAAGGCAATATTTCATTCTTTCTCATTGCCACGTAGTATTCCATTGTGTGTATAAACCACAATTTCTTTATCCATTCATCGAAGAGCTATATTTTACAATGACAGTATTTGCACATTTTGAAAAAATTTGTTTTCCTCAAACTTAAAGTTAACTTCATTAGTGTGTCACTAGAAAATACAGTATAACCCCATGGTATTCCAACTATGACTGGACCCACATCTCAAAATACCATTTATTAAGAGATACATAGCCTCTGTGGGCCCATAGACTCTTTTATTTAGGTGTCAAAACACAGACCCACAAATGCAGAATTTGGCATACATCCATGTAATAGAGTACTCCCAAGTCCATCCATGGAATAGGGTAGAAAGTTGGGAGAGATTATAACTCTTGAACTATTCAAAAAGACTCATTATTCCATAATATTCTTATACAGAAGTATTAGAAGTATTGAAGAAATGCTATTTACAAGTGAAAGACTCATGCTTTAAAATTTGTGGGTCTATCATTGCTCTAAGCTCTTAATGGCTTATAACTTACAAATACCAAGGCATCATGTTATTATTTAGGACAGATCTTAGGTTCTGGTACATTAGATTTTCCCATTATCTAACAGAACATTTCTAAATTCCAAGGGACTTTACTAGACAGTGTGAACAAAATAATTACTTGGGAAACTTTTAAAAATATTTTATTGTGAAATGACAGGAATAACACTTAGAGGTCATATATATATCAAAGTTCTGTTATTTGGGACATCGCTTGGAATCTAGAAGTTAAGACTTCTGTGTGGTCAACGTGCAGAAATCTATGCATTTTGCTCCTAGGAGAGCTTCCCCGGCCTTCAATCAAAACTAATTTTAGACTCAATTCTAAAAAGGTTGGTAGAATAGATGTCTAAAATCTTGGTTCATGGAAGATTAGATACTCAGTTAAGTGTCTTACTTCGGCTCAGGTCATGATCTCATGGTTCGTGAGTTCAAGCCCTGCTCAGGCTCTCCACTGACAAGCCTACTTGGGATTCTCTCTCTCCCCCCGCCTCTCTGCCCCTCCCTCCAGTGCTTTCTTTCTCAAATAAATAAACCTAAAAATAAAAAAACAAAATAAATTAAAAGAGAATTGGGGAGGGGGAAATCTGGAAGATTCTGGAAAAGTGGAGAGAACCTGCAACTCACCTGCCATATTCAGCCTGCCTAGCAAATTGTAATAATGACAATCTTCATTTAATGCTTATGCCAGGCAATGGGCTGAGCATTTTGTACCCCATTATCTTGTTCACAATATTTCTGTGACAGATATTCTTATCCTCATTTTACACTGGCATACAGATTAAGTAACTTGCCTGAAATCACACTGAGTATTTGAGGTATTCTTTGAACCTAAGTATATATAATTTAGGAGGCCTCTCTCTGAATCACTAACTGTGTTGTTTTTATGTTCTAATTTTAATTTCAACTTTTCTATACATAAAAAAAATCGAAATGTGAAATTATTCACAGTAAATAGCTTGTGGTATCCTAGACTTTGGCAAACAAATTAGAAAAGCGCAACTTCAGTGTCACAAATTGCCTATGTATGAAAGGTGTGAATTTTCTGTTTATTAAGTCAGGGTTTCTCAACAATGGCACCATTAACATTTTGGGCCAGATAATTCTTTGTTGTGGGAGGCTGTCCTGTGCAATGCAAGATATTTAACAGCATCCCTACCCTCTACCCGTTAGCTGCTGGTAGCAACTCCATCCCAAGTCGTGACAAACAGAAATGTCTCCAGACATTCCTAAATGTTCTCTGCAGGGCAAAAGTGCCCTTAAGTGAGAGAATCACTAGTTTAAGTAAAAGAGCTCATATGATACTGAAGCCTATATTAACTTTCTAGAATCATAGAATAATAGACCTGGAAGAGACTTTAATCACTTCCTTATTTGACAGTTTAGGAAACTGAGGTGGGAAGAGATTGAGGACCTCACCTATGTCACCAAACTACTTAGTGGAAGAGTTGGGTGGGAAAGCCAGACATTTCCTGCTCTCAGAATTGGTAATCTAGGCACTTATGGATGTGACATTTCTTATAAACTGAATTCAATACTGTGGTTACAGTAGCTAGAGTCATCTTTTTAAAGCATAGTTCAGATATTACCTGTTCTAAGCCATCTAGTGGCCTCCTGTCATCCTTGGAATAGAATCTAAAGTCCTAGCCATAAGCCCAAAAGATGCCCAATATGGCTATTGCTACCTCTCCAGACTCATTTCCTAACACCCTTCTCTTTCACCCTGTTCTCATCACACTGATTTTCTTGGTATTCCTTTGAACACTTTCAAGCATGCTCCCATTTTTTTTGCATTTGCTTTTCCCTGTGCCAGGAATGTTCTTTTCCTAGACATTCCCATGACTTGC